CCAAGGCGCGTGGGCGGGGGGGGGGGCGAAGCGGGAGCCAAAAGGCCAGCGGCGACCGGGCGTCGCAGAGCATCAGCTGGCCTGCCGGATCCTGAGGCGGGGGGAGGCTAGCAACTAACCCGCTTGGAGGCGAGGGAGCCCTGGTTGGAGCCGCTGCACCAGGAACCCCCGAGCCGGGAAGTCTGATGGCCGCTTAGGCGGTGCTTTTCTTCCCCTCTCCGACCCCGGGGCCCTTTGGGCTTAACGGTGAGTGATTTGGGCCCTGCTTTTTGCAGCGACCGTTGGAAAGGGAGATTTGAAGGGCCAAAAGTCAGAAAAAGCCTGGTCAGGTCCAAGCCAGGGGCTGCGCTGCCCCCTGCGAGGATTGCGCCGTTCCCGGAGACTCTTCCTGAAGCTTCAGTCAAAGCGAGTGGCCTCTCCTGCAGCCGCTGAAAGGGACATCAGCGCCTGGTTACCTGCCCCTGATTGGAGAGAAATGACCGGCCGGCAACTGGCAATCAGGGTGTAAAGATTCGGAGCATCGCGTTAGGGCTGTTCATGAAGAGAGAAGAGCTTACCGCGTGAAAAGTCTCGGCTCTCCTGCTTTCTGCAGGGTTCCAATGCTTTGCTGGGAATTATTGTCCTTTTCCTCCCAGGCAAAATCTCACGGTACCGGCATTACCGGTTTGCACCCGGCAATGCTCGGAGCTGGAGGGTGACTCCCCCAAAATAACTGAAAAATCGCCAGCTTTCCTATAAATAGAAAGACGGACCTGTGGGAATGTTTGCCAGCGGGTCTTAGTGCTCATGTGACTTCAGATTTACAATTCAGGTTGCCTGCAGGTTATGCTCAAGAATAGACAGACACCAAATACAATAAAATTCTTGAAATCTTGTACTATTGATAATTAGCGTATTGCAGCTCTCCAACCAGACTTTGTAGAGCAGTGTTTTTCAACCTTGGTGACTTTAAGATGCGTGGACTTCAACTCCCAGAATTCCCCAGCCAGCATACTGGCTGGGGAATTCTGGGAGTTGA